TCTATGATTCTGTGACTCTATGATTCTGTCAGACCGATAGTATGAAAAACATTTAGATTAAGACATGACAAATCTGTGAAGGGGAGGAAATTGTGACCTATGAGTACATATACTTGCATTAATTGCATGTCTGACTAAAGCACTATCTTTTTTTGCTTGTATTATTTGAAAACGGTCCAACAAACTGACAAAAATAAATAAATAAATAAATAAATAGTTCAGAATGAGAAGCACTCAGACCCACAAAACGTAGTATATGAAGTAGATAAAGCAGATCAGCAGAATTTTCTTTTAATCATAACTACAGTGGATCTCAGAAGACATCTCTGTATTTTGAAAGATTAGTAAGTAATTTTGGTTGCTGTAAGTCAAGAAAAAAATGTTTTGTGCTCTTTGACCAAATAGCAGATGTAATCTTTCATGGAAGCTATACTGAGAACCCAGTTATCTGTGCATGATGTCATGCATTTAGCATTGAGTATGCAAAAATCTTAGTATATGAATTCAGGAATTGTGAAATTATCTTCTAGACTAAAGAGGAAGGAAAAAAAAAAAAAGCCAAAGGTATAGCTGAACCTTGAGTTTAAGACTTACAAAGAAGCATTAAATATCCGTACTGTTCTTCCTCAAAAGGAAGGACCACTAGCTTAATGCTAAAAGAACTATGCTGAGATGTATATGATTCTGGCTATAAAGAAAATTCTTGGTTTTAAATGTTCTAAATGCTCCTAAAAATATTAAATAAAGAAAAATAAATGTGTTAATATAAACTTATGCATTCTAGCTGTTATCTTCTTTCATCCTTATAGAGTTCTTTGTGCTTCATGAATCTGGAAAGAATTAAGAAGCAGCTCACATTAGAGCCCATTGTTACGTTCCCTTCAGTACCATTTTTTTCTTTTCCTGCAATTACTGAGGTTTATTTTCTTTGCTTGAAAATAGGATTTTTGTCTCATTTGGGTCCCTGCTATTTAATTCCTACTTGAAGTCATAATCCTCCCTGCCACACCACACCAATCTCCTTGAAGCTAATTTTGATGTCACAGGAAGGATTTTGACTTCAGAGGAACTGATTATTTAGGTACACTTCATGTACCAGAAATTGTCCCTCTGTAGTACACAAAAATAGGAATACTGCAGCCAAAAAGATTCAAAGCACAAAACTCAACAAAAGTTCGAGCTTCCTGGTTAGCACTTCTCAGCAGGAATTTAAGGGACTTTTTGTTAGAATAAGGAGGCAATAGAGTATGCTTAGCTATGCAGTCTTTGGCTTTTCTTTTCATGATTCTGTTTCTGTGAGAGGCTTCTCTGACACACACACACTGTATACAAAATCTGAGGTGAGGTAATCACATTCCAAATAGTCAGTGATGTCGGAAAATACTTTCGACTTGGACTGGTTTCAAAGCTCTGACTTAAAACCAGCACAGTGTTAGAACACCACTTGATACTCATTTGTCCAAGTGATATTTTTTTTTGTTACTGCTCGTATTTTTTCATTTTTCCTGATAACATGTGTTAAATATCTGAAGCATCATTAAGATTAAAATAATCAAAGTGATTCTTTAATAAAACCCATTCTCATCTCTGCAGGGATGAAAACACCTCTGTTGCAAGTGAAGAGTCATATTCTGTAAAAACATAGAAAGATCAGCTGAAAGCAGTAACTGTTTCTTGCAAAGCTGGAAAGGTTAAAAATAAGAGCAACCATTGACTATAAATTAATCTACAGCTGAAAAGAAACCCTTTTTTGATTATTTCCAGCAAAGGAAGTCTCAGTGCTGAGCTGACAAGATCTTAACTTGTACTTTATTAATTGCCATAGGATTGTCTTTTTGCATCAACAAATCAACACACTGGAACAGGTTGCCCAAGAAGGTTGTGGATGCCCCATCCCTGAAGGCATTCAAGGCCAGGCTGGATGTGGCTCTGGGCAGCCTGGTCTGGTGGTTGGCGACCCTGCACATAGCAGGAGGGTTGAAACTAGATGATCATTGTGGTCCTTTTCAAACCCAGGCCATACTATGATTCTATGATTCTATGATTCTATGATTCTGTGATTCAAAATTACTGATCGTACATCTGGAATAAGAATATTCACATCAGTGAAAGCTCCATACCAACATGTTGATTGACTAATGTCAAATTAATAGATTAGCTTCTAGGATACAATGTACTGAACATTTGATTTAGGAAGAAAAAAAACAGTAAAACTGCAGAAAGTATCCTTTACTCTATGTGACATTCCATATCATGCGTTTTGATAAATATGATTGATCATTATAAGCTTTCCTAAGTTAGGAATCATATCCAAATACTTCAAAACCCTTTATCCCCATGTCTTCGAGGATTTCTGAAGGGGAATAGCTTACTGTTGCAGAGTACTGTCAGATTTGGCAGTGACTGTATTCACCTTTGTCACAGGAACTTACAGAGAAGCTAATATGTATCGGTGTTAAGCACGTTTTATTAAAACATTGAAAAGAGATAACAGCCTTCAGTTTATCTATCCTTGTGGTTTGTTTGTTGTGTTTTTATTTTTCTCAACATTTTTCTTTTATTTTTCTTTTTCTTTTTTTCCTCTCCTGTTTATGTGTTTTGTTTCAAATTTCTTTCACATATGACTAAGCTGGGTTATCTGAGTGGGAGGGATGACCAGAAGATCCTCAAGCATAAAGACACCCATTTACTCCGTGCTTCCTTTACATGCCCTATTACTTCTATGCTATTCAACCAGCGTAAGGAGGAATGCTAGGAATGATATCTTGATGAGAGCTCAGTAAAGACGACGCTGTTTTCAGGATTTTATTAAAGACATCAAGAAAAGTTCCTTTTATTCACCGTGGCTGTCACAGCGGCACGCACAGCCCGTTCTACCCGCAGACGTGGCGCTGCCGTCGGCTGCTGACATCCCGGCCCCGCAGCACGGCCCCGGCGGAGCGCTCACTTCCCGTCATCCACACGCCATCTAGCGACGGGAAAAAGGGGGCGGCTTTGCACGGGAGCGGAAAGGAGAGGAGGAGGAAAGGGCTCCCATCCCCGTCCCAGCTCTCGCCTTTCCCAAAGCGGGTAAGAGCCATTTGAATATTGCATCCAGAACTCCGGAGCGGCTCGGGGCGGCTCGTGAGGAGCACCGCCGCACTCCGCTCCCTGGCATTTCAACCCCCCTTCTCTCTGCTATTCAGTGAATCGTTCCCCTCCCCTTGAAAGGAGCTAGCGCTGCCCAGGAATCCCCCGGATACCTCACCTAAGCTATCTCCTAAGCCGCCCTCCTCGAAGCACCGATCCCTGCCTGAAGCACCGCCAACTCCGGCGGCTCTGCGCGGCGCTGCCGGCGGAGGGCTCGGACCGCGCGATCGCGGCCCCGCAGAGACACGCGGGTACACACGCGAACGCACGCACACACACACACACACACACACACGGAGCACACACGGGCGCTCCTCGCTGCCGGCGCAGCCGCCCCGGCCCCTTTGTTCCGCCCGCAGAGGGATGCCCGCGCCGCGCCCCCCGCGCCCCGCTCCGACACCGCCCGTCCCCGCGCCCCTCGCCCGCGGGCGGCGGCAGCGCGGCGTGGCTGCGGGAACCCCTCCGCCCCCGACCGCGCCAGGGCCTCGCCGCCGCTACCCGCAGCCCCGCGGCAGCCCCGCGGTAGGAGCTGGGGCAGCGGCCGCGCCTGCCGGCAGACCCGCGCCGCAGGATCCGCGCCCCGGGAACGACGTGCTCCGCCGAGCTGCCAGGCGCGATTACGTTGGTTTTCCCCCCACCCACCCCTTGAACTTGTTGCTTGGCGCTCGGCGGCGGCGGCGGAGGGGGGTGGGGGTGGGGGAAAGGGAAAGCCTTATTATCGATGTCCCTTTGGATGCGATCAAGCTTTCTCAGGAGCAACTACTTCCCCGCCGTTCCCGGCGGGGCGCGGAGATCTAGCGGCAGAGCCCGTATTTCCAAAAGTCTCTATGCAACTGAGCGCTCTCGTCAGACTTTCCCAGGTAGGTGCCGCAGGCTGAGCGCGGCCGGAGAGACGCGAGAGCAGAACCGAGGGGAAGGGGCGAGAACAGGAGGCGGGGGGCGCGGGGGGTACGATACGGCCGCCGAGCCGCGACCTGCCGCACCGGGGCCCCGCGCCGCGCTCTCCTGCCCCGCTTCCGCCCCGGCTTCGCCCTCCGCCGCCCTTTTGGCCGCTGCCGAGGTGCCCCCCGCACCCCGCCCTTCTCTCGCCATCGCCACCGCCGCCCCGCTCCGCATCAGCACCTTCCCTGCCCCTCGCCCCGCTCCGTGCGGAATCCCCCGACCGCTCCCTGCCCGGGGCGCGCTACCTCGCCCCTCCCGGCGCCCCTCTGCCCTTTGATGCCTTTCCTATACGAAAAAAACTTGCCTTAAAGTTTAATGTTGCCGCCTGGAGCTCCTCCCTCTGCCCCGCCGGCTGCCCCGGCCCCGAGCCCGGGTCAAGAGGAGTCCCCGGGGCGGCGATCAAGGACAGCGAGAGGATTCATCCCCTGCTGCTCCGCAGCGGCCCGCCCGGCCCAACCCCTCCGCCCCGGAACGGCGAGCGGACCCGCCGCAGCCCTCCCGGCGACGGCTCCGCCGGTGGCCGCGGCCCCGCGCCGACAGCGGGCGGGGAGCGGCTCGGGGAAGGGGCGGGGGGACAAGCTGCATCTCTCGTGGAGAACATCTACTTCCAGGTGGCCGCACCGCTGCACCAGGGCTGCCAACCGGCTCCCGTGGGTAGTGCTTTGTGGATCACAGCTTCCATCCAGGAGCATCGCGAGGACCTTGTATCCAAAGGACCTGGCTGCTAGGCAGTTGTAGAAGCCATGAAAACGTTGATTTTCCAAGTGCCCCGATTTATTGTCCTAACTGTCTAACCAGCTCCTGGAAAGGATATTCTGGGGCCAAAAAAAAAAAAAAGGG